TAACTTTTTTTAATTGCGATATTTTTATAATATTTATTTATTTTATATATTTACATATCTAACACCTAAACTACTATCTTACTCATGCATGAAGGGCTCTATCACATCATGCATGATATATTTATGCAATTTGACCCAACTTAGAGATTCCACTACTCCAATCACTCATTCGCTATTATAAAAACTATTATAAAAATTTCAATTTAAAGCTATCCAAAAGTTTGATTTCAATAAACTTATAATCAAACTACTCGGTTTGACGAGATGAAACTAACTATACTAGAATGGATCCAATGCAAGTCAAATCACTCTTAGATCAAGTAACTAAATCACATTTGAAAGCTTTTTGAGCATATTTGGAAGATTAAACAGATTCTGAATATAACAAGCTTAAAAGTCAAATCGATCCACAAGTCTCTGACAAGCCCAAGATCACTCAATTCTGACATCATTAAGACGCTAAAATATTCATTAAACGTCATGTTATTAAAGGGGTCTCTCCGAGTCGTATGACCAAGAATAGTATAGATTATTTTCTTATTTGTAGCCTAAACTCCATAAATAGAGTTATATTTCTTTTATAAGAGGGGAATGAGGGCTTGAAGTCTAAAGAAAGCTGAAGCTTGGAGAAAGAGTTGAAGTCCAACATCACTTCTCCGCCGCATCCAGCAATCGCCACCTTCGGCCCCCTACCACATATTACCATCGACCACCGCCCACTTCTTGCTACGAAACACCATACAAAACAATCTACAAAGCAACACATCATTTTGAAAGTCATGCCAACCCCAAATACGATACACTGAAGCCTCGACTATTGCCCATCTATATAACCCTTTCCTACCTGTGGGATTCCCCATCTATAACGAATTTATTTAATTAAACTAGACATCGTGATTTTTTCACTTTCTGGGTTTTCTACGTTAAAATTATTTAGCATTTTTTGTCCATCATTTCTACTACATGAATATGTTGGGTTCTCATGCAATACTAAAACATTAACTAATCACACTACCGCCACAAATTCTCTAACACACATCTTATATTATATGTATAAGTGATTCAATATTCCATCATTTATTGCCAATTGTCAAATTGTATAAACTGATTCTGAATATAACAAGCTTAAAGTCAAATTGATCCACAAGTATCCGACAAGCCCAAGATCACTCAATTCTAAGATCATTAAGACGCTAAAATATCCATTAAACGTCATTTTACTAAAGGGGTCTCTTTGAGCCGTATGACCAAGAGTAGTATAGATTCTTTTGTTATTTGCAGCCTTGACTCCATAAATAGAGCCATATTTCTTTTATGAGAAGGGGAGTGAGGGCTTGAAGTCTGAAGAAGACTGAAGCTTAGAGAAAGAGTTGAAGTCCAACATCACTTCTCCGCCGCATCCAGCAACCGCCACATTCGGCCCCCTACCACAGATCACCATCGACAATCGCCCACTTCTTGCTACGAAACACCATACAAAACAACCTGCAAAGCGACATCATTTTGAAAGTCATGCCAACCCCAAATACGATGCACTGAAGCCTCGACTATTGCCCATCTGTATAACCCTTTCCTACCTATGGGATTCCCCATCTGTAACGAATTTATTTAATTGAACTAGACACCGTGATTTTTTCACTTTCTGGGTTTTCTACATCAAAATTATTTGGCATTTTGGTCCATCATTTTCTACTACCTAAATGTATTGAGTTCTCGTACAATACTAAAACATTAACTAATCACACTACCGCCACAAATTCTCTAACACACATCTTATATTATATATATAAGTGATTCAACATACCATCATTCATTGCCAATTGTCAAATTTTTGGGCCCATGAAAGACTCAATGACTAACATTGACATCCTATAATATAATCTGACAACAAAGCCTCAATTTCCTTTCAATCACTCTACTCGTCCATTCTAACTTGAAGTTTGACTTTGACCAAAATTTTTATTTATTTTTTTCATATTTTTTATTTCTTAAGAGAATTATAAAAAAATTTATGTGCCATAATTTCTGCAGAATTTCGAAGCTAAAATCTGTATGAAAATAAGGAAAAGTTTGACATCATCCAAATAAACATTGTTTCTCGTCCAAACTTTTCCAAGGGAAAAAAAAAACAGGCGAAATGAGGCTACTGACCCATTAAGCCGAAACCCCCAAATGTAGCTCTTTACTTGGTAAACGCCACATTTTAAGAATCATCATGCCTTCTTAATGCACCCATCATGCAATATGTCATCCTTAACACGCGCGCGCGCGCGCGCACACACATATATATCTGATGCGTCACCAACAAATTTTCATCAGTCAACACGAATCTCGGTACAATTTTTTAAACAAGAAACATTCAAACTTCGATTAAGAGTCATTTAGAGCTCTGATTTCAGTAAAATTATAGTCAAACTGATGGGCTTGATGAGACGAACCTAATGATATAAAAGTCAGTTCAATCCGAGTCAAATTAAGCCCAGATCAAATCATTAAACCACTCTTGGAGGATTTCCGGAGGCATTTGAAAGGTCAAACGGATGTCAAATCTAGCGAGTTCATAGTCGAATCGAGCATCTCGACAAGACGAATCCAATGAACCCAAGATTGGTCAATTTCAACGTCGTTAAGACACTCAAATGTCCATCAAACGTTATCTGATCTAGGGATGCTCTCCGGACCATCCGATCAAAATGGTTCATATTTTTGCATTAATTGAACTCAAAACACTATAAATAGAGCCTCAGCCCTCACATGAAAGGGGGAGGCTTAAGAGAGAACTTGAGTCTTTGAGAAGGAGCTCAAGTCCAAGATCATTCTCGCCATCGTCGATCGTCGTCGCCCACCACTGACCGTCGACAATCACCGCTGACCTTCGTCGACCGTCATCGATTGTCGTCAACTACCGTCGATCACCGCCGACCTCCGTCAACCACTGTTGACTAGACGTCGTCAGTCGACGTTGTAATTGGAAAAGCTAGTAACACTTTCCCGCCTTTGGGACAAGGGACATCTGTAATCAACTTATAGTGGATTTTTACAACTGGGACAGACCCCTTGGTTTTTCCCTTTACGGGTTTTCCAAGTAAAAACTTCTGATGTTATCACAATTTGATTCATTTTCATCTGAGTGTGTGCTGAATCTTCGCACAACACTAAGACAGTTGCATTAAGACGTTAATCCATTACTATACCGCTGCAAATTTTCTAGCACGCATCAATATATATATACACACATGCCTTCGCCTGACTCATTGGTTGCGGCTTTTAGTGTAAGTCCCTCGGGTTGGGAGTTCGATCCCTGCGTATGATCGAATTGCACACTTATCTGAAAGAAGGGTCCGCCCCTCGATCAGACTGAGATTGATCAATGATTAAACTTTTTCAAATACATATATATATATATATATATAT